GATGGGGTCAAGCTAGTGACGTTAAAGAAGGGCTTACTGGGAGGCAACCCAGCTTTATAAACTTTTCGTTTTAATTTTTTTCTTTTGTTACTTGTTTTCTTTTTAACCAATTCTTTTGTTATTGTACTTTGCTTGAATGAACTACACCGCTTTGATTCAACTGTGATGTGTTTTGTGATGAGTAATGCTTTTTGATATTCTATTGTATTTGATGGAAGACCATCTAAGATGCACATTGGACCTCTTACTAGAGCCATGGCAAAGAGGATTCAAGAGGAAGAAGGACCACATACTATTTTGCTTCTATGGAAGGTTACTTATAAAAATCCTTCTTCTCTTAACTAAAGCATTTATACTTTGTTTTGTAGGAATTAATAAATCTTGGAGACTATGATTGAGCCATCCAAGAAGATAAATCAATAGATCAAGCAAAAGAGCCAAAAANTGATGGAAGACCATCTAAGATGCACATTGGACCTCTTACTAGAGCCATGGCAAAGAGGATTCAAGAGGAAGAAGGACCACATACTATTTTGCTTCTATGGAAGGTTACTTATAAAAATCCTTCTTCTCTTAACTAAAGCATTTATACTTTGTTTTGTAGGAATTAATAAATCTTGGAGACTATGATTGAGCCATCCAAGAAGATAAATCAATAGATCAAGCAAAAGAGCCAAAAAGAGGTGCTTACGGCATGCACCAACATTTTCCACGTGAAATGGGCTGATGTGGAAGGAAGCACACACCTTGCTTGATGAGCTGGAAAGAGGCATGGACCTTGCTTGATCAAAATAAATCTGAACCATTTGAATTTAGGAGGGAATTAGAATTAGAAATTAGGCTCCTCTTCACCTATAAATAAGAGGGCCTTTTCCTTGTATTGATGCACTTTTGAGCTTAATAATATGCTGCAGAAATTGTTTTCCAGCTTTTGTGCTCTTAAGTCACCTTTGAATTACTACTTCTCCTCCTTTCCTCAAGCTTCCTTCCTCTGTATGAAGGCCCTCTGAGCTGTGAGGCTTCACCCATACACCTTTCCTCCATTAAAACACATCAAACACTGCATCATTTCATCCATCCGCTGCACCAATTTTCATTACTGGTTTTCTCTGGTCTGGAACCTCTTCCTACACGTTTCCAGCTGGGAATTGGTCTCCATCAGTATTGATGGATGTTGAGATGATGCATGATGTGAAACAGGTGCTTAAGATAAAATTTGATTGGGATACTAAGTAGGATGTTTATTTAACCTCTAGGACTTGAGAGTTTACCTGTGTGAGTTTTGGGCTTCAGAGTTGTTGTGAATAATTGTTATTACTTTGGAAGCATGAATGATTTTGCCCAAATTTTTTGTGATTGAACTACTTGCTTGCAGGTTTCATATGATCAAGACCATCTTTTGTTATCCCTTATTTTTTTTGCCTACTCATGAATTTGTCCTAATAAAAAGAGAACAGTTTGTGCCATCCTTTGAACCTTTAGCCTTAAGCATGTTTTGAAAACCCTATTTTAAATTCTTTACCTTGAGTTAAGTTGAGAATATTTGTGAGGTATTGATAAAGGTCCAAATTTGGGGTTGTTAGAAAAATAAGCAGTGAGCACAAAGAAAAAGAAAAAGAGAAATCAAAAGAAAAGAAAAATAAAAAGAAAGAAAAGAAAGCTCGCTGCAAGGGAAAAAGGTTGGGAAAGATCTTCTTGAAAAGAGAACCTATGTGTAATTGTTAATTTCATAAATATCTCTCTTAACTCAAGGATTTTGCATTGCTGAAAAACCATGTTTCTTCTTAGTCCAACCAAGTTACAAGCCAAGAAAAGCCCTTGTGATGAAAATATGTTTGTGAGTATGTTTGATTTTGGTTAAATGAAAGGCAAAGTTAATTTGTGTGGCATTGTGATAGTAGAGTGATTAAGAGATCCCACTATACACTTGTGAGTTGAGTGATACACTTTTGAGAACTTGAGTGATACACTTTTGAGTGCTTGAGTGAAACACTTTATTTGGTGAGGAGTAGTTCTCTGAATTTTTGATTGCATCTCTGCTTGGTTGATTGATCATTCTTAAGGATAGCATTTATTGAAAGTATATGAGCATCACATTGATTTTGATTGAATTAAGGCATCTGCACATCTTGACTGAGATCTTTATGCTGAATTGATAAAAGTAATTTATTGTCTTAGAAGGAGAAGTTTTTGAAAAATGTTGAGCAATTATAGTGATTGTTCTGAAGAACTGAGTTACATTTTGTTTTACTTGAGGACAAGCAAAGTTCAAAGTTTGGGGTTGTGTTAACGGTTGAAAATACTGTTATTTTTTATGTAACTTTGATATTAAATACACCATTTTTCACTTAGAAACTTGCTTGGACTCATGCATTTTCATTTAATTGTGTGAATAAAAGAGTTGAGGTTGAATTTGATGATTTTATGACTAATTTGCCTTGTTTTGATAGGTAATGAGAGAATATGGAAAGCAAAGATGAAGTGCTAAGGAATTAGAGCTAAAGGCCTGGAAAAACACCCAAAGGAGGAACCGGACGAAGCTTGGGCGCCCTATCTGAGGCTTGAGCCTCGAAAAATCGATGTCCACTGCCCAAGCGCCCTCCTCGGCCGCCCGGGCAGCATCCCCTGAAGCCTGGGCGTCCAATTGAAGGCTCAGGCCCTACATGAGGATCGTCCATCGCCCGGGCGCCCTAAATGGGGCGCTCGAGCGCCCTAAATGGGGCGCCCGAGCGTCGCGGGTAGCAGATTTGGCCCAGTTTTTGCTCTGCTTCAACTCTTTTGGACTGGGCCCTGTTTCTACTGATAACAGTTGAAAAAATGTTATTTTCATGCTTAAAATTGATACTAAAAGCAACCTTTAACACTTAGAAACTAGCTTGAAATCATGCTTTTGGTTATATTTTTAGAACTAAGAGAGCTGGACAGGTTTATGCTTGATTTCAGTGTTTTTGTGCAGGTTTTAAGGTGAATTTGGTGAAAGAAGTGAAGAAGGACAGAGATGGAATCAGAAAAGACATCAAAAAGTGCAAAAGGAGAAGCCGCAACTGCCGCTCAGCGGTAGTTTACCGCTGAGCGGCACTCAGGCAGTCACGTTGGATCCGATGAGGGGTGATTTGGCCGCTGAGGGGAAGAAACCAACTCACGCACTTACCGCTGAGCGGCACACTTATGGGCTTGGGCCTAAATTTTCTGTAATTTTAGAATAGTATATAATCTTTAGGATGTCCTAGGGTTTGTATCTTTGGCAGAGACGAAGCAAACACTCTCTTTTTCCACCCCTTGAAGGAAGATCTTTGATGCTCAGGCTACCTTCTCCTCTTTCTAGGGTTCTATCTTTCATTCTTTCATTATTGTTCATCTAGTTTCACCATGAATATGATGAACTAAACCTTGTATTGTTGTTGGGGAATGATGTAACCTTGTGAACTCTCATGTATTTGAATTGATTCTTAATTTATATGCTTTTTCATTAATTATTAGGGAATTCATCTGTTTCAATGCTTGCTCTATTTAACTCATTTAGTAGCATGATTTATGAATTGCATGAGTGCCGGGAGGTTCCTTACAATTCAAGTTCTTGTTGAATTCTCCCAAGGATAATATTTCTCAGGGATGAGGGTATGAGTACTTGGTCGTCTTAAGCTCTTGATCTTCAAACTTAATTTTCTAAGAACGCTAGGAATTGCACAAACTAGGAATTAAGGGAGGCTTATTGCGCCGAGGGATCGAGTTCTAAGTAATTTAGTGAGTGACGTTAATATTAATGTAAAAAGAAGAATTCTTATATACATGAGAGTAAACTTGGTGAAATCAAACCCTAACAACATACTCATCTCATTTTATAAACAACCTCCGTTCATCTCTGTGTTACACTACTATTGATCAATTTGCATTCATATTTAATTTTATGTCTTTGCATTTGAAACCAACAATCTCATTTTATTTAAGTTTTAATTAATTGAGTTATCACACAATTATTTAGTGCCGAGAGTCTTCAGGGATACGATACTTGGTCTTACCATTTTATATTACTTGTGCAATTCGGTACACTTGCCGATCCATCAACAAGTTTTTGGTTTCGTTTCTAGAGATCAAAAATATTGTCAATAATTTTGTATTTTAACAGTATTGCCAGGCCAAGAGTAAATGCTACCAACATGGAGATGAAGCCTGCTCTTATTCACTTGGTGCAGAGAAATCAATTCAATGAATTAGTACATGAAAATCCATATGATCATCTGACCACATTTGATGAGATATGCAATATAGTGAAGATTCAGGATGTTCTAGATGAAGCTATTAAACTTTGTTTGTTCCCCTTCTCTTTGGGAGGCAATGCTAAGATATGAGTAAATTCTTTCCCTAAGAATAGTTTCACTATGTGGGAAGATGTGGTAGCAAAGTTCCTGAATAAGTACTTCCCTTAGTCAAAGGTAAATAAAGGTAAATAAGAAATATCTTCTTTTCAACAGGGCATGGAGGAGACATTAGGTCAAGCATGGGATAGATACAAAAGCTTGTTGAGAAAGACGCCCATGCATGGCTTTGATAAAGCCACAATAGTCATTCTTTTCCTTGGAGGTCTAGGTTCATAAACCAAATTGATGCTAGATGTCTCAGATGAAGATAATATCAAGTGCAAGACTCTAGAGGAAGCATATGAATTGATTGAAAACATGGCTACTAATGATAATGAGATGCAGAACGAAAGAGCTCAATTTCAACAAGAAAGAGTTCTTTAGTTGCAATCTCAAGATGCTTTGTTGGCTCAAAACGAGATGATGACTCAACAATTAGAGACCCTGATGAGGAAAATCTCTCAACTACCGAAGGAGTTGCAGCGTGTCTCTCAAGCTCAACATCAATTTTGTGAGCTATGTGGTGGAGATCATGTGAATGGACAATGTGCCATGCAAGATAATACCTAGGAAAAAGTAAATTATATGGGTAATCAGGACCACCCATGTAATTTCAACCAACGGTGGAAACCTCATCCAAGCATGGGTCAAGGGCAAGCTGAGCAATTTAATAGACCACCACAGCAGCAATGGCAACCACAATCCTCTTTATCTAAAAGGATGACAAAACTAGAAGACACCCTTCAACAATTCATGCAAGTGTTTGTCTATACTCAGAAGAGCACTAAATCTGCCATTAGAAACTTGGAGATACAAGTTGGTCAACTGGCTAAAAAGTTGGAGGATATGTTTGACAGGAGTTTTGGGGCTAATATTGCAGTTAACCCTAAGGAGGAGTGCAATGTCATTATGACTAGAAGTGGCAAGATGTTAGATGAGCGAAAAGTTGAGAGAAAAGAAAGGGCAAGAAAAGAGAAAGATGAGGGGAAGGAAAAAGAAAAAGAGAGAGAAGAAAGAAAAAAAGAAAAAATATTTGAGAAGCCCCTTCCTTATCCAAAGAGCTTTTCAAAGAATGAAAAAGAGAAGCAATATGGGCGTTTCATGGAGATTTTCAAGCAATTGGAAATTACTATGCCCTTGACTGAAGCATTGCAGCAAATCCCTGCTTATGCGAAGCACATGAAGCAATTCCTCAAAGAGAAGAAATATATAGATAAGGAAAAAATTGAAGTGCAGGGTAATTGCAGTGCCATATTGCAAAAGACACTACCTCCTAAATTCAAAGATCCAGGGAGTTTCATAATCCCTTGCACCATTGGGAATCATGATATAGGGAAGGCTCTAGTTGACTTAGGAGCTAGTATCAATCTAATGTCCTTATTTATACTTAAGAAGATTGGTGGTCTGGAGGTCAAACCTACAAAAGCAATCTTGCAAATGGTAGACAGGTCCATTAAGCATCCTTATGGTGTGGTAGAAGACGTGGTGGTGAAAATTGATAAAGTCAAATTTTTGGTGGACTTTGTAGTGATGGAGATGGAGGAGAATGTAGAGATACCGCTCATCCTTGGAAGGCCATTCATGAAGAAAGCTAAGGTTGTAATTCATGTGGATGATGGAGTTATAACATTGAAAGAACAAGATGAAGAGGTGACTTTAAATGTCTTTGAAGCTGGGCAGCCAATACAAGTAACAAGGACTAGTCCTAAAGCTAAAGACGATGTTCTATCAGTGACTAGTCTACCTGATAAAGTTGTCAAGACGGTCAAGAGGAATCATAGTTGTTGCTTTCCAAGGTTGAAGGAAGATGATAGAGATAAGGAAGAAAAACTCGTTCACCATTACTCTATGATGGAAAATAATGAACTCTACCTTGGCAAACCAGTGAAATTCAAGAACAAGTTAGCAAACCAGTGAAATTCAAGAACAAGTTATGGGTTATCAAGGATATAAAGGCAAATGGAGTTCTTGAGATTGAGGCTCCTTATTCTAGGAGAGTCAAGTTGGTGACAAGAAAGATGTGAGATTATGTTGGTGTCATGAAAGGAAGAAGCACATCAACATTGAAAATCAAACTTGAGCTTTATT